AAATAAACTCTTTAAAATTGTCTCAGAAAATGAATACATATGTGAAAAAAAAACTGTGCCTATTCATAGAAAAAATTAAACCTATACTGATATATATTATCATTTACATAATTAATTTAATGACATTTTATATATTTATTCTATTATTCCTAAGTATTCATTCAATATTAAATCGTACAATTAAATAAAATCTTTTATCAACTGTCGTAATAATTAGTTTTTAAAAATATATTCACAATCAATTAATTGTTAAATATGTTGTAAAATTATTAAATTTCTTTTATAAACACCTACAATTGTTAAATATTTATTAATTTATTAAATATAATTTTAATCGTATGATTCTGAAACTCTCAGATTTAAATATTTAATCAATTTTAACTCTCTATTCTAAAATAAAAATGAATATATTTCATTATATAAGTTGGTATATCCAAGTACAATTATATTACTAGATAATTTTTAATATATATATTTCTTTGATCATTAGGCAAATTACAATAAATATTAATAGTAAATTTATTTAATAATTCCTATGATAAGACATAAATATAAATGTATTAATTTGAAGATACTTCTAACATGTTCAATTCTGTTTCAACTGCCGTTTCTAAATCATATCGAAGTGCTCTTCTCAAAATCATCCAAATTAGCATGAGTGGATTTACACAAAATATGCAGATGCAACAATCTTCCTCTTTTGAAGCAGTTAGACCATATAACAAATAAAACAACGGTTTTATAAATCGTATTATTGCACAAAATAAGTACTAATTAATTCTTCCATATAATCATGATTTGAGTGCTACTTTCATTTAATACGACACATCAACATTCCATTATTAACTTCCATTATTAGCTTCCCATTATTTACTAAATTAGGCGAATGAGAAGTAGCATGCTACTCTTGATAATTTCAGTAGATTATTTGGTTTGAATCAGCAATTGATCCAAAACCAGTTATATCAACTTTGAAATAAATACCGAATACTCGTCACCACTAATAAGCTAACAAAATCCATTCGCAACTATTTACATAAATCTATATGACTCTACAAATATTTTCTTATCTCAAATCTCAAATTTCTTGACAAAAATCTGCAATACAGATAGATTAAGATTTTATCATTACCAACTTAAGACTAGTCCTGTAAATATTAAGATAAAAGTAAAATATTTTATCTTCATACATCAGTTGATTTAGAATATTAAATGACATGTTTTAAAAGGCTTTACTAGCCAAAACTGAAATATTTTAAAATTCATTAAAATCATATTAAAATATAAACGTATGAATTTAGGAATAATGAGCATGTGGAATTATGGTATAATTTAATTTAAAATATATATAATTTTAAATATAAATATTGTAAAGATCAATTGCAACTTTAATATTTTTAATATATTTTTCATGAATTTTCTATTTGAATCAAAACATAAAAAAAATGTATTTAAATGTGAGATAAATATTAAAAGACTTATTCAATTTAAATGAATTATTAATTTTGTGTCATATATTTATTATAATTCAATTTTTTTTAATATATCCGCCAATAATGTAGTATGTAAAATTATTATCTTACTGTTATAAAGTCACTGCGGTATTAAGAAATTATGCTGCAAAACTTCGATCAAAAATATAACAGCGCAATTGATACAATTATTATTTAATTAACGGCAATAAAATAAGATTTATATAGACAATTGCTAGATTTCAGAAATTTATTTTGCATATACGTTTAGCATAGACATTCCATAACATATTTCAGTACCATATGTTCTAAATACATTATGAATGAACTGTTCGTAACAAACGTATCCAGTCTAAATATGTTCTATACAATTGAATAATTTTTTTTAATTTAACTAAACATTATAAGTAAGTAAAATATGTCTTCTCCTAAATACGTTTTGAATTGACTTTTAATATTGTTTTTGCTTGTAAAATATAACTTTTTTATACAATAAAAGCACAATAAAAATTTAACGATAAAGAGCACAATAAAATTTCTATATTTAATCCATTAAAAACAATAAAAATGAATATCGTGTTGATATTTTTACAATATAATTAACGGTTAGCAAAAAATAATAAGCAATAATTGATATAGTTTGTTTGTTTTTAATGAATTTCTTTTCTTTTCACGAGCATAAGAAAAATTTCAAATATTGTAGACACAATTTTTTTATTTAAAAAAAATGCACTTTTAACAAAAATAATGTGATCTTATTAATAAAAAGAATTTTTCCTTCTTCAAGAATGCCATGAGATTATGCAAAAAATGTCATAATATAAATCTTAAAATTAATATTTAAAACAAATTTCGAAAACTATTTTCTAATGGTATTCCGTAATATCTAATATTTATAATTTCATCTTTTAAATTGTAGAATAATCATCGCATGATAAATTATAAGTATTAGTACATAATGTAGATATTAAATTGAAAATTGAAATCTCTATTGTAATTTATTGTTAAATATATGGTAATCGTAAATCTTATCAAACATAAATTCAAACCACTTTGGTTTATTATTTTATTTATAATCTAAGACTTCTAAGTAAAGTTCTTGCTAATTCTAACATGAATCTCAAAACAAAATGCAATTTTATGAATTTAAATAAAAAATTAATGTTCATACATAATATAAATAAATAAATAAATATATATATATATATATATTCGACTATTATTTTCAACAGTTTATATAAATATTTTTAAAATTTTATAAATATATTTCAAGAGCTTATATAAGATAAAAATATATACTTATATATATTGAATTAAAAAAAGGGTTTATAGAGTCCATTATGTCGATAATTAAACATAATGATCATTTCTTTTAAATTAATAAACGCTTTACTTTTACTATTTAATAATTCAATGTCCTCTATATATTTTGTTTAAAAAAAAAATAAATACAGTTCAAACAATGTGTGATGAACAAGTTATTGGATTTTATTAGCTTGACTAGTTATCCATGTTAATGGTAAAACACATATGGACCAAAAAACAAAGAATAACAACTTATTATGTAGCAACATATAGTATATTACATAAAAAAAATGTATTTTTTAATCTATGATAAAACTGATAAAAAACTGATATTTAGCAGTTTATATATATCAAGATATTAAATCAATTTAATATCAATGCTGCGCCTACGTACAGCGACTAAGTAAACTTTCTCTCCCACCCCCACCTCCCACATTGAACTTTCTAATTGTTAATTAAACAGCTAAAGTAGGCTGAACGAAAAATCTAAGATCCCATAATGTTTGTCTGTTAATGAATGGCCTAAAAATCGCTTTATCTTCATTAGTGAATATTCTGGTATTGAAATCAAAACATCATTCGGGATGAATCTCTCTCCAGGCATAAAACTTGAAAAGTATCGAATAAAGGAGGAGGAATCGAGCAATATATAAATATATAAATAAATATATATATATATATATATATATATATATATATATATATATATATATATATATATATATATATTTATTTATATATTTTGTTTGCGCCTGAGTGCGGGATGGATGTAGGAAAAGTCTCTGGGATCCGGGACTCAACGACTACCGCGCCGCGCTACCGGTAACTACGGTGACTATTAGCTATAGCTGTTACTAGCTGCTCCTCGCCGCCGCGCCAGTTTCATACCATATATATATATATATATATATATATATATATATTATATGCGTGTTTGCGCCTGAGTGCGGGATGGATGTAGGAAAAGTCTCTGGGATCCGGGACTCAACGACTACCGCGCCGCGCTACCGGTAACTACGGTGACTATTAGCTATAGCTGTTACTAGCTGCTCCTCGCCGCCGCGCCAGTTGCATACGATATCACTATATGAGTGGAGAAAATCAATAAGAAAGCCCCACTATTAGAAAGCTCGACGCGCGCGCGTGCTGCAGCAGCAGTGCCAGCAGTGCATATGCATTTATTATAGAGACAGCCGTGAGTAACACGAAATAAAAAGTTAAAGAACGGTTACATTCCACATCGGCTTATAAAGGGGCCACTTTAACTGCTACAGCCATTTCGCATAACTTTTCTCTCGACACCTTTTATCTCTTTACCTCTGTCCCTTCACCCTTTGTCCCTCTTCCGCGCCCTCTCGCACTGACCCTCACTCCCTCTACCACTACCTCTATCTCTCTCACTTTCACGCTCTCTCGCTCTTTAGCAACATTTGCTGTCATTTGCACTCTTTAGTTTAAGTTAATTCAATTCGCATGAAAAGTCATATATAGAAATGAACGGCCATCAGTGAATATCATTGTAAATTCGAAACCAATGCAATTGCTTTTCTCATATTGATAAGGTTAAATAAGAAACAAATTGAGAGCTTGAAGCATATCGGCAATGACATTTTGTGTTGTGTACATATTTATGCATCTATTATATGCGCGCGCGCGCGCACGTGTGTGAGTTGAGTTTAGTGATTGTGTCACGTATAAGATTTTAGAATCATTGGGGATTGAATTTTTAGTGGAACTTTAGAAAATTAAGTACTGGAAAATTTACTTAAAATATATAGTAATATCTAATTTCCAAATTCGTTTAATATTACTTTGAAAAATGTATTAAATAATCAAAACCGTTTATTATTTGCGCATTTGTATAAATATGTATTGACACAAAAGTAAAACTCTTTATATATTAAAAATACGCTAATTTTAATACACATATTTTTAATTTCTCTCTCTTTACCATAAATTGTAAAAGATATATTTCATTATTTCATTAGAGGATAAGCAGATAATAGAATATAAAGAGCAATATTTATAATGAAAACAAAAGTAGCACAAAAGCAGTTGTATTTTCAAATAGTAATCGAGTGCCAAGAATAAATATCAAAAACATAAAATCAATGTGTTTGACAAAAACAGATGATACAATATATTATTTAAAATTGTTTCTATAATAATGGAAATATGTCAAGAACATTGATATTGACTTCTTGACAATTAAAATCTTTTATCATGATAGGCTCTACAATCATGAAATTAATTTGTTTAATGTTGCTGATATTGCTAATATTTGATATATCTAGTTCTACGCATATCAGTGGCACTTTTAACACCAATGATTTTTTCAAGTTCCTTATAAAGTTTGGCTTTCAAAAGACAGACCAACATAAACAAAAAGATTCTTATGGTTATATTTTTGGAAATATCACTTCAAAAACAAACTTTTCTCAAAGCATTACCTTAGCTGTACTTGATCGGGGACACTTTTTAGAATATTATGGAAATCGTGTAATAAGAAATAAGAAGGTTGCATGTGCCATGATGTTTAAAACATTGAATCAGACTTCATACGATATAAAATGTAATGACAATGGTCAAGATTATTTAAGGTATTATTTTTAATATTTATAATTTATATCACTTATTGATTAATTTACATTCTTTGTAATAACTTAATATATAATTGTTGAATAATGTTATTTATTAAATTATAAGTATTTGTAGAATCATTTTGAAAAACATTTTGATACCTATTAAACTGAAGAATAAAATTATTTACATTAAATATAATTTCAAAATAAATATTAAAATTAAGTCTAATTTTACTTTTATAGAAGAATACCCTGTCCGAAAGGAAAACTGTGTGTAGATGAAAATTTACCTTGGAATGTCATCAGTGGAAATCAATTTACATATATTATTAAAGATATCTGGCAGCCACGTTTCTGGTACATTAGTTTAATAGCTTGTTACAGAAATAATGAAACTTGCCAATGGGAGTATTATGATAAGTACAACGAACTAGATTATGATATCTGGTTGGTCAATGGAAATCCTAATAACAGTGGTTTAAATAGTTTAACGTATCAATTTTCATATGATAGGCAGAACACTATAGAATTTTATTTGCTCTTCTTTGTTTGTTATATTATCTTAGTTCCACTACAATTGTATGCTGTAAGATTACAAAGACATCCTGTCACAAGACTTTTTACAGCAAGTCTTCTGTTAGAATTCATGGCTATATGTCTAATTCTTATTCATGTTTTAAAATTTGCCTTTGATGGTATTGGCTATGAGCAATTAGAGATAGCTGGCGATATTCTGGATATCCTTTCAAGAGTAATTATCTTAATTTATAACAATTAAATTAAGTATAAGATAATATAATTTAGTTATAATAGGCTTTCCTTAATTTGTATTTAATAATTTTCTTTATATCATATAATAAATAATATTATGTTAATTAAATTATCTTATATCTATTCATGTTTGTAGACATCATTTATGTTATTGCTGCTTTTATTGGCAAAAGGGTGGGCAGTAACTCGACAAGAATTGACGTGGAAGCCCTTGGTGTTTGCTATATGGCTTTGTTATGGCATTGTTCATATTATGCTATATATATGGAATATGGTATGTCGTTAATTATTTAATATATTATTATTTTTATATAAATAGATAAGCGTGTCATATATCCATACATATATTCTATAATTATGTATTTTATATTTGTGTATTACAATAGAAATGATAATTATAGAAAATGAAGTATAAATTTATTTTACAAAATTAAAATTAAAATTTTTAAAAATACAATTATTATTAATATATGCAGTTGTAATTATAATTAAATATAAAATTTAATTAAAAACTTCAAGATAATTTCCATTACTTATATTTTGTCATCCAAATTTTTATGTTATATTTATAGACAGAAGTTGACATTATTGAAGATATTGATGAATACCAAACATGGCCAGGTTGGTTTATACTATTTTTTCGCAGTATAATTATGGTCTGGTTTTTGTATGAACTTCGCAATACTATGACCTATGAACACAACACTCAGAAATTAAATTTTCTACTTCACTTCGGTGCTTCTTCATTAGTATGGTTTATTTACCTTCCTATAATAGCACTCATTGCTCTTCAAATAAGTGCATTATGGAGGTTTAAACTCTTACTAGGTAAGGTGGTTCTTAAATTCCTATTTTTATATAAACATTTTTAAATTGTATGATTTATATTTTTACTTCATTTTTCTATATTCATTAACTCATACAGTTAAGATCAACCGCTAATAAAAAAGAGTTACAATAAAAATAAAATCTTAAAATTGAAATTTCATCAGAAAAATTTAAGTAATTTAGTTGAATTTTTTTAAATAAACTATATTCAAAAAGAAACTACTGAATATAGATTGATAATTATTTTAATCTTGTATCTTAATCAATCCATATTAAGAATATATTAGTATCATCTAATAATGCTTGATTATACGTGTGTATAATATTCTGCAAATGTAATTAAAAAATACCCATAAAAAAAGTAATTTCTATAAAGGTATCAAATATTTTAAATAAACTAATGTTTAGGCATTACATACTCTGTTGACTGCTTTGCTTACTGTGTAATGGCGCATCTTCTCTGGCCAACACGTAGTGAACAGTACTTCTTATTGGCCCAGGGCACCGATAATGGCGACGAACTCGACGAATTCAACGAAGCACCACACGTATTGAATAATTACGTTGAACCGCCGGAGTTGAGCAAAGTAATAACTTAAGCTTTTGACATTAGTCTCCAAAGGAAATGCACATTGTGCACATTCTTATATGCATACGCACACGCGCACTTCCTTGCGCAACCAGTCATTCATTAATAAATTACAACTATGTGTAATAAAAGAAATCTTTATTTTCTTTAATTACATCATTAAGCTGTGTTTAAACCATTAACAATATTTTTATTAATCTTGAAAATATGGAATAATTGCTATTAAATTCATTGTAAAAGTTTGGTATTGAAATATATGGCACGTATCACTTTCAATTTATAAATTATAGAAAACTAAACAACTAATAGATCTATACAGTTGCTTAATTTTTAGTAATTAAACAATAATAATATCTAGTGATATATCTGTCAATAACAAACTATTCCAGCGTTTAAGAAAATACGGAAATTATTAATTGATAATAAAGAATATGTAGTAATATCGATCCTTATTGGATAAAGAATTAAGCGTAACATACATATATATATATAAAAAATTCGTTCATTTAAACGAAATAATACAATGCAACGACTATGTGATGTACATTTGCCAAAAGGGTGAAAATATTCAAATACAGCAAAGAAGATATTTTGTGCTTCTTGAGACTGATGCAATTTTTACTCCTTTGATATCGATTTCTATTAATAAATTAATCACGATTTTGATGAAACAATTTCGCTAAAAATTTGTTGATAAATTGTAAGCTTTAGTGTAAAAGCGAAAAAAACAAATCAAATGAAAACAATTATTATATAAGATTTACATATTATTTATTTATTTTATCATTGTGATAATAAAAAAATAAATGAAAAAAAAATCTGCAGAATTATACTATTTCATATTAATTAGCAAAGTATTGTTACATATAATACCAGTATTCAAATTCAAATTTGAAATTGTTGTATACACAAATTGAATAGGAAAGATTTAATTTCAAATTATATTTTGTGATTTATCAAACTATTCTTTTATTAAAAGTATATATTTTTAATTTATTGCACTATATAAATTATATTGATACCAAAATTAAGAAAGACTTGAGGAATTATAAATTTTATGTTAATATGAAATACGTACTTAGATTTACTGATAAAATAATATTTATAAATTGTAATTATAACGAAAGTAAATTTAGAAATCTACGCAAAAGTTTCGCACTTATTATTACTTGCATTGCACTCTTTAATATTTCATATATTTAAAAAAATAAAATAGAATATTGTTTTTATTAATAAGGAGTTGATATAATACTGCTAAATGATATAATTGTCTTTTATATATGGTATTACAAAAACTAGAAACATTTTAAATAGATTTATTTGTTTATATTAAACATACCATTCCAATAGAAAGTGATAATATTACTTGAATTTAAATATTCTGTATATAATTTAGAAAATAATTGATATTCCTGTGTAAAGAAGTTCACAATATTCTGGTCCAAAAATAAACTTTTCTGAGTAATGCACTTAATTTCATAGAGTTTGTATCGAATAAAACATTTTCTATATTATTAATATACAAGTTAAATAATATAGAATATAAAGTAAAATTAAGTAATATATTACTTATCTTACAAAATTTTAAACTCTGTAAATTAAAAATTAGTACTTAGTAGTTTTCTATTACATAGTTAATTTTTCAAAATTTATGTAGTAAATATAAATAAATTAATTTTTATATTAAAATATGAATTTTACAAATATATGTTATTTAATATTAATTGATGTTGTTTCTTTGTATAATTAATTATAAGTATAAAAAATGTTTCATGAGTGCTTGTTTAAAATTATTGCAATTTCATAAAACAATTGACAATTAATCTATTATTGAAAACAAGTAGCATTAAAAGAACAAAATTACCTAACTCAGATTTAACCAATTTTTTTTCAAACATATCTGTATACCATTACAATAAGATTTATATTTTATTTCTTAAATTTCTATAATTTCAACTGTCAACTCAATATAAATAATATATAAAAAGTGTAATTTATTTATTAAAACATTATTTTTGTTTTTAACAATATCTTAGAAATTTTTTCATATAATAATTTTACAGAAGTAACAAAAATGTAAAAAATAGATTATGTAATAGTGATAAATAGTTTTGTAACTTTCATAAATACTCTGTTTATTCTTTGAAGAGTGATACTTACATAAATATAATTAAACAAGTTTTATTACTTTAAAATGAAACTATTGTTCCAAGTTGTTTTCACATATTTTTCACATTTTTCACTAATTATTCTAAAAATAATTAAAAAATAAAACATTTTTGGTAGACATTTAATTATCAAAATTATTTTTAAATTATTTATTTTACTACAAATTTATACTATAAATATAATTGTACCTTTTTTGTATTTTTAATAAATCATAACAACTTCAAATGAGAAGTTATACTGCTAATTCTATCTGAATTGCCAGGACCGATACCCAGAACTGTGATTGTTCCTGGTTTTATTTGAGTTTTTCCTGCATCTCTCACAGTTGTCGTAATGAGTCCTGCTTCAGAAGCTGATTTACTTAAAGATATAAGTTCTTGTTCACTGTTTACTTTGAGTACAATCTTTGGTTGTCCCATATAAATCCATGATTTTATAGTAAAAAAATTTTTGAAACCTTTATTTCCAATTAAAAAGCAGGATAATGCAGCATGAGCACATTGACTAGCTATTTTTCCTGTGCTCATACATAGATCAGAACGGACAATCAAAACCAACTTTTGTTGAATTTTTGGTAAAAATGGCATTTCAATGCTATTTTAATTCTGATATTTCTGTTATAATTATGTACATAAATTCTTTTATATTATTAGCTCATTGCACTTTGTATTTGCAATTTTTTGGTTGAATAACATTCCTATAATTAAATAAGAATACCTCAATGGAAGTATATTTATTTTGTAAATTATACAAAAATAATTTTGATTTATATTTTCCTTTATGCAGCATTATATGTTAATAAATAATTGAATATACATTTATGTATATAAATATAAAATCAGATATTAAACAATTTAAAAAGTATACAATATCAACAATTTTATATAAACAAACTATTTAAATAGAAATCTAGATTGCATATGTATATATACAAAATTAATATTAAAAGCGTCATATACTCATTAACATAATATAAAAAAATATTAAAATTTTATAATCAAATATTACTTTTAACATCAAATTTAATCAATTTTATGAGAATAATTTTTTAAATAATTATATCTAAACATATGAAGAATAAACCTGAAAAAAATACTAAAATTAAAAAAAATTGTTATATCTAATATAAAAAAAGTTAATAAATAACTATGATATAACGTAAATATATCAACTTCAAGTAATATAAATACTTAAAAATTTAACCTATTTCAATCACAAAATGTTTAATGAAATACATTGAGCTAGTATTTCAGAATTTTTTCATAAAAAATATTATTTCATATAATAATCAACACAATATCAATTTATAATCGAAATAGAAAAAACAAAATAGCATAAACTCAAGGAATAATTAAAAATATACGATTGTAAATTCACGATTTCGTATCATGAATTTTAAAACATAAATTGGACTTTCTAATTGCTAAAATACGAACGAATTTTTTATATATTGGAATCACATTAAGAAATAAGAATTTTTTTTACTCTAAATAATTTATTATAATATAAATAAAAATAGATTTACTTTTTAGTAGAATTTTCTTAAAGTGTGGATATTCAGTTGCAAATTATTCAATAAGCGGTTCGCACATTGTGCCCCCTATTTCATTCAACATTGTTGCAAACCATCATTAAAACAACTCTGTTATGATTGTCATCTTTATTTTTAAAGTAAAATATAAAATGATAAAGTCAGTTTATAATAATAAAAATTAATGAATTTTTTTTTAGTATCCATATTCGTTTTTATAATAAAATAAATATTTTAATTTTATCACATATCTCCACAAGGTATATATTGTGTTGGCGAGACGTTGAATTTAGCTTCTAATTACGTCAATTCCTTAAAGTTGTATGCTTTCATAATTTGTTTATTTACACATATTTATTCGTATGTATACGGTAATGTGATTTTCTTATTAATTAAAAACTTTCTGTTTTTTCAATTTTTCGCTAACAATTAGTTATCATATACAAATATTTTTCATTCCCTGTATTTTTGTTGATTAATTCAATTGTGAAAGTACAAATGTATTTATTAATATGTACAAAATTTTTCGTGCAGCACGTGTGTAACGACGAGGTTCGGCGCTATTTTTGTGATTATTTTGTAAAATGAAATGTATTTTTTTTCATTCATTTATATCATGTTTTTTATTAGTAATTGTGATATAATCGGTTTACGCGAGTTTGAACCTACTATTTTGTCAGAATTCAATATCAATAGAACAAAAATATTGTTTAAGAGGTTAGTTTTTTATACTCTAAAACTATTTCTAATTCTTATTAAATTTTATAATATAAATAATTTACCTGCTTTGCACTGTAATAATTTATTTCATATATTTTCTATAAAATTAGTTTAAATAAACAATTACCTTTATACGTATATATATATATATATACATATATATATATATATATATACATACATATTTATATTTACTTGCATATTAAATATTTCATTTCAAAATAAATATAAAATATCACATTTTTTGTAATGAAATATAATGTTTACATCTTATTCATCTGGATATAAATGTATACATAAATGCATCTTGTGGTATATTATAGTCTAGGTCATATTATTTTTTTAATTTTAAATTATATTAAAATCGTTCAATTTGTTTACTTATATTAGAATAGTATTAAAGAAATAAATTAAATTCTAACTTTATATTTTTACTAATACTAATTAATTAAAAGTTAATAAATAATTCCAGATTCTAAATCATTAATATTACTACAATAAAAAAAATTGTTTTAAATAATAACAATTTATAAATATTATGTTTCGGAAATATCGTCCTTCGAAGTAGTCTTATGCTTGTTTACTAGAGTAAAGTAATTGATAGAATAATGTATTATAAAAAGAGAGATATACGTTAGTAAGAAGAGAAGTACTTTACATATAAATTAATCTTAAAATAATACTATTAGTAATTTTATTACGTCTGTTATATTCATTACTACTACAATATTTGCACAAATACGATTCTTTAGGAATTTTCATTTGCTTATATTTTGCTACTTAATTATATAATTAAATATAATGCCTCACTATACCTATATTTTTTTAAATAGGACATTAAATAATACATTTGACAATTTTTTATTTTAAAATTTTGATGTTTTTAAAATTATAATAATAAATTACAAACTGCGAAAAATTATCGAAATATCGAAATCTGCTTGACGAAATTTTTGAAGAAAAAACAATTTTTTTATTACAAAACTAGTTTTGTAAATTTAAAACAATTATTACTTAATTTAGTCATGTAAAAATATGTAAATTTAATCATTTGCATCAATTATATATAAATGGACAATTCATATATTTCCAAATATTTTTCTTATCAATTGTGAACTATGGTGATTTGAATACCTTCGCTAAATTTGAGTATATAAAATTTCAATTGTTTTTAAATATACAACTTTAATTTTGATTAAAGTGTTTTTAAATTGTCTAAAATCAAGTATCTACAATAAATCACTTTCTATTCAACATATTAGTTGAGTCATCTATAAAAATATATTGGTTGTAAAAAATTTATTTATATGGAAAATTGATAACTAAGCGTAAACTAAAAGTAATTGCTGATTAGAAATTTATTGATATGTATTTATATTTTATAAGTAACTGTCACAAAAAGCAATTTATTAAAAAAAAATAATGAAAAAAAAGAACTCTAAGATTTATTGTAATTTAAATTGAATTGATTGTATATATTTTTATCTAAGCTCTACTAGAAATATATCGATAATTTAAAAATTTAACATTATTCGCGTTTCGATAATAGATTATTATATAATTTTAACTTAAAAATATGATATATAAACATATTAGCAGTTATTTTATCTGTTCATATTTTTTTTATTATATATTATTACTTATATTTTTTATATAAGTAACCTTTCTCAATTTTACGAAAATTTTAATTAATTAGTTATATGTTATTTAGAATCTTATCTTTCAATATAAAATCAATATTATATTATACGGAAATATATTTATAGCATTTTATTGCATTCGAATGAATTTGAAATATAATGCACTTAATTAGGAAATCAGAAATACAAAATAAATATTAAAGTTTCTTTTTATAATATGAAGGTTTCATTTTAAATTAGGAACAAACTAGAACATCTTCTATAAATGGTTTTTGATGTTTATTTATTGCTGATTTATCTATATGATAATTTATTTTAAATTAAGAAGAAAATTAATTATTTGTGTTATACAAAGTTAAGTCTTTTTAATAGAAGTTCAAAGATATATTAAGAAGGGTTAGATAAACTTTGAAAAATTGTTAAATTTACAAAAGAATATGCGAAAGAATCTCTAATTTTTTTAGTACTTGAAAACAATTCTAAAAACTTTTCAATTTAAAAAATTACTAATATATCTTTGTTCTGTAAGCTAAATAATTAATATTGAATCAATATAAGGTTCTAAAATAAATCACATTGTATGTTATTGTAATAAAATCGTTGAATAAAATTTGATTTATGCCATATTTTTGTATTGTAATAATTTTCTCGTGTAGTTATTTATTATTTTATCATTTATTAAGTGAATTAATCTATAAAAATTAATTATGTCACCAATTTTATTTTAATTCCACATATATTGTTTGAAAGTTATACAAGTACAATAATTATTAAACACGTTAATAAAATGAAACGATATAATATATTGATTGTTTATAATGACATTTATAAATTTAACATTTATTTTATTCGCTCATGTAACGAGTTTGATTCTTTAACAGTGTAATTGAAACATAAATGGCTTTGCGGCACATATTTTTAAATTACACAGTTTTTTCATTACTTTATATGCTTTTATATATCTTAAGATATTTTTAAACAGGTATGTTTCAAATCTAAATAAATTAGAAAAAATATATAAAATAATGTTTTATTAAACCGTAGATACATAAGTTATTACATTATAATCCCAATTATATATTTTAAACTACAATAACATTTTCATACGGTGATCTTTAATTACAAATTATAATTATAAATATATAATCGTATTTCTGTAAAACTGGCTTACAATCTATCGGAAAAATAAATAGATTAATTACAGAACTAACACTATTTAAAAGGGGCATATACAATTATATCTTACGCAGGATAACTATTATAATAAAAAATACCATTTTTGAAAGTGCTCGCTTAAAAATAATTCGTCGTTATGGCATGATAACTGGCACTATTATTAAAAATTGAAGTTACTTATACGTTTGAAATATAAAAAGCACGTTTTTCAGTTAAACTTCATTATCAAAAAATTATTCAGAGAGCGCGGGTCATACTCCGAATTATCGACCGCGCTTGTGTCTTTTAGCCGCACTCTCATCAATTGCCCTCGGAAGGGATGTTTTATTTCCTTCGCTCCAGTGTCGTACGGGAACTCAAAGATTACCTGTGCATGTGATTTCACATTAAGTCTGGCCGTTTTGCTCGAAATGGAATTTTCTCTAAAATGTACAGCGGAACAATGAGGTACACACTTGCTTTTTCTAGAAAATAGATCAAAAATATCGGCATTTTTCAATCACGTGTGACTTTTGCACAATTAGTTATATTATCTTCTAATTTCATTTCGCAAAAGAAATGTTTAAACATTATATAATACTTAGTAGGAAAGAAAAATAAATAAATTTTATATTAAATAAAAATTTTAATTTCTTTATTATAAAAAATGTTTAAAGTACAGTAAAAGTAAAATAAAATTTTAAAGTAACAACTCAGTGTAACATCATAGAAGTAATAATATCAGTAAGAATTATATCAGTAAATAGAAAAGTATGCGATGACATGTAGTAGGACTTTGGTAGCACTTTAATAAATGTATGATTTATCTTAATATTATAAAATTGTAAATCATCAATTTTATAATTTGAAATTTTTAAAAAAGTTGTCAATTAAAATTGAGCAATTAATTAATACATTAATAGAATTAATCCTGCATTGCACATAACCTAAAAATGTATATATACTAAGCTACTAATCAGTATTAGCAATTGTACTGTACTAATATGTTCAAGTTTAAGTGATAAACTAGTTCATAATTTTAACTAATTTTAACCAAAACCATAATTTTACATAATTCTCTTTCGTTAAACATGCACAATGCCTATTAAATTTATCAACGCAATGACAATTAAAAAACATTATAAAATTTATTTCTTGCTTTGCCACATAATTCGAGAATTTGTAGATTATGTTAGTAATAAAAACACATGATACACATGTGATATTAACTCGACAAACAACATAGATCGGACTGCATTTTTGTTTAACCGTGCAATCCTGATTGGACTACGAAATTGACAGCTAAACTGAAATCCAAGATTGAATCGTGCGTTTATGCAGCTTTCCATTCACGGAAATATATGCAATTGAGACGAGTAATTTTATCAAATTTGAGATTATATGATGACTATATATAGCTTAGTAACAAATTTAAATAAAAATAACACGATATAAATCCACTGTAACAAAGTTGTACGTTAATTGTTTGAAAAAAATAATATACTTATTACTGATAATTTTAAATAATTTTCTTACTCATATTGCTTATGGCATTTTGAGTATTTAAAATTTTTTTATAAATATTGTAAATAAACATATACATTATTTATTATAATATTATGTATTCATCATAATAACTTGTGTAGTTGTTATAAGTATATACATGTATATATATATATATATATATATATATATATATATATATATATATATATATATATTTTTTTTTATTTATTTATTATTTTAATTTATTGATTTAATGATTTAATTTAATCAATGGATAAATATAAAAATTGTATCCTGTGAAACTATCATACATTATTGAAAATTTTTTTAATTTAAAAACTTCTGCTATATAACGTATTATGTAAGTTCAAGGCTAGGGCTCTGCCGTAGTGAATTTAATTCTTCTGCTGCTCACCAGGTGGAAACTGACTAAGTTCTCACTTATTCCAACATCACCCAACCATCCATCAGATCTTAAAAACCATAAAAACATAAAATAAATGTTAATTAAATTTAATGAAATCATTATAAAACTTATAGATATGTATCTATATATAGAAATAATCAACATTTTATAGTTGATAGCTTCGAAATTCTAAGCAAATAAAAATTAAATTTAAGTTTCGCGGGTAGTGATAGCAAAACCCGCAAGTAACTAAAAGTAGTAGAAAATGCTATATAAGCCCGAGACGAAAG